ATAAATAAATAAATAAATAAATAAATAAATAAATAAATAAATAAATAAATAAATAAATAAATGACAGCCTGGTGACATAGATAAATAAATAAATGACAGCCTGGTGACATAGGGCTGTAATTCCAGCGCTGTCGAGGCTGAGGCAGGGGGCTCACTGGGCTCACGAGAGCTGCTCTTTACGGAGTCTCACCGTGCAGCTCTGGCTGCCCCTGTAACCTGCTTATGTAAGACAAACTGGCTTCGAATTTACAAAGCGATTAGGTGGCCTCTGTTTCCCGGGTGCACCGGTGCATAGGCCGCTACTTCGAGCCAACAGAATTTTTAAATGAAAGGAAGAGAAAAAGAAATCTAAAATAAATAAAGACCAGGGACAGCCAGGCGTGCTTCTAATCTCAATATTCGAGAGACTAAAGCAGAGGCTCCTGCAGTCTGGGCTACACAGTGAAACTTTTGTTTTAAAAAAAATGACACTGACTCTGGCATGCAGTGTAGGGGTGCTATGTGTGGGCTCATTCGCATCGTAACGAACAAATAAATCGACTGTAACGGGCATTGTTTAGGCTGGGAAAGTAGAATTTGAAGTGGATATTAGCTGGGTGTCTGCTAAGGGATTAAGGATTTAAGGATAAAACCATATGATTTGCTTTGAAGGGGATGATGAAACAGGCTCTCAAGTAGCACAGACTGGCCTCGAATTCCCTGTGTTGGCGAAGATGGCCTTGAACTCGTGGTATCCTATCTACATCTGCCTAATTCTGGGATTACAGGCGATGGCCGTCAAACCTGGTAATTTGCTGTAAAATAATATAATAAAAAAGGGAGGATAAAATAAGAAAGAAAACAGGCTGAGAGTTATTGAGGCGAAATGATGGAATCTCGTTGCACCTTTTTCCTTCTAAAATTCTACTTTAAAAGTTGCAATGAACGCAGCGTCTGAATTCTGCAGAACTCCTCCACTCGAACGCCTGTTTCCACCGGGACACCAAACATTACTAACCAGCCTATAGGAATTACTCGAGTGTTGGGGTGTACGTCATCGCTGAGCGCCTCTCTTTGAGGGCGGAGATAGATGGCGTCACCACTCTGCGCAGGCGTAGTTTCTCGCATCCTCAGCCTCACGCAGGCGCAGTAGTGCAGTCGTGTGCGCAGTGGCTGCCGCTGCCGAGTAGGGCCGAGAGGAGCTGCGCCCACCTTGGGCGTTAAGGGTGCGCGCGCCGCGGGGTCGTTTAAGCCGAGCACTGGGAGACCCTGCGAGCTCGAGGTCTGTGAGCAGCCACCATGTCCATCTTCACCCCCACCAACCAGATCCGACTGACCAATGTGGCCGTCGTGCGGATGAAGCGGGCAGGGAAGCGCTTCGAAATCGCCTGCTATAAAAACAAGGTCGTCGGCTGGCGGAGTGGCGTGTGAGTGATCCTGTGCCCAGAGCCCAGCGGATCGGCCCCCCCCGAGGCCTGGCTTCCCTAACCCCGGTCCTTGCTAGCCAGGGGTACCTTTCAGGCCAGGTTTGCTTGATTTCGGATTGGGTTCTGGTTTGAGATATTGTCGGTGTCGTAAAAACTGCCGACTAGGAACTCTGTCATAGCTGGGCCTGGTGACCTAGGCTTTTAATACCAGTGCTCAAGAGGCTGAGGCAGGGGGATTACTGTGAGTTCCAAGCCAGCCTGGAATCTAGTATGTGTGACCCTGTCCAATTTAAAAAAAGAAAAAAAAATAAGAAATTGCAGCCAAGAAACCCCGAAATTGCGGTGGTCTTCTTGGATTAATGATTAAGACAGAAATCCGATACTTCAAATACTGTCACAAAGAAAAGAAACTTTCTGTGGTCATTTTTCCGGAATAATCGGGAAGCTGAAATTAGTACAGCAGATGTCACACCTCAGAATATACAGTTTTACCAAAGTGCTTGATGTCTTCGCGACTGCCATCTAGGGACAGATATTCCAGGATGGAAGCCTTCAGGCCACTCCCCACCACACCCTGAATTTCCCGACATAAAACAATGACGTGTTTTCCCTCCCTGATTAAGTGGGAGAATACTGATACTGTCTCGAGTTTGAGATTGTTCCTTTTAAGGTAGTGACCTGGGAGAGAGTGTGGTGTGTATGTGTGTGTGTTTGCTTTTGAGACAAGGTTTCAGGTAGTACAACACACTATATAGTTGTATCTTTGAAGCTGGCCTTGAACTCCCAATATTTTCCTGCCTCCACCTCCTGAATCCTGGGATTACAGATGGGCGCATCACACCTAGCTTGCAGCACTTGCCATTTATCTTGTTGCCAAATCTTGTATTTAAATGTGAGTGGATTGCCAACTCTCCAGTGGATTCACATAGGACTTTCTCTCCTGCCCTTTCAAGGGAAAAAGACCTTGATGAAGTTCTGCAGACCCACTCAGTGTTTGTAAATGTTTCCAAAGGTCAGGTTGCCAAGAAGGAAGACCTCATCAGTGCCTTCGGGACAGATGACCAGACTGAAATCTGCAAGCAGGTAGGTTCTGCCCACTGCATCAGTACACATTCCCATGGTCATAGGCAACATCAGGACCACTGTTCCTCTTGATGAATTTTTGTTGTTTTAGCATATGTCTCTTTTTTTCAGTATACGTTGTTGGAAAATTTGGGAGTTTTGTGTGGTGTTTGTTGTTATTTTCTTTTGACACAGAGTCTCACTGTGTAGCCCATGCTGACATCAAACCCACTGGATAGCCATGCAGGCATGAAGTTCCTGATCCTCCAGCACCATGCCGCTCACTCACATCTGATATAACATGTAATGATTAAAACAGGAACCTGAGACTGCAGATACCATCACAAAGAAAAGAAACTTTCTATGGCCATTTTCCTGGAATAATAATCAGGAAGCTAATCCTACAAATACTGAAATTAGTACAGCAGATGTCACGCACACGCACCTCAGAATCCTCAGTTTTACCCAAATACATAGTGTCTTCCCTGCTGCCAATCAGAACAGATATTTTATTACATAAAACAATGCTTTCTGTAATTTATGTTTTATGTATTTATTACATAATATATTACATATAATATGATATATTACATATTACGATGGTTTTGGGGGAGGACAGTATATCACTATGTAGCTCTGGCTGTTCTTGAACTCATAGTGATCCACCTGCCTCTGCCTCCTGAGTGATGTAATTAAAGGGGCAGACCCCCATACCCAGCTTTTTTTTATTTATTTATTTTTTTATGTGTGTGTATACACATGTTCACGTTTGTGAAGGTGCCTGGAGAGACCACAAAACAAAAATCAGATTCCCCTGGACCTGGAGTTACAAGCGTTAGTTAGCCCTCTAGTGTGGGTGCTGGGAAATGAACTCCAGTCTTCAGGGAGAGCAGCAAGCACTGGGCACCACTGTGCCCTATCTCCAGCCCCTCCAGTATCACTTTAACACATTCGACTTTGGATGTTCTTTTATATGCTGCTATAATTTCAAGAAATGCCAATCACAACATTCGTAGGAGTCTACTGAGCATACACAGCTTTATTGAAGCAATAGAAACTATAAAATTGTCTTATAACTTAGGAATATAACAAAGGAATATTGTAACAGGTGGCCATTCAACATCCAAGTTGGAAAGAATGCTGGGAGGAGACTGCAGTGAAGTAGGTTCCCATGGTGGAAAGAGTATCGTCATAGGCAGAGGGGCTGCAGGCGCAGGAGCTTCTCGGTCCTAGCTCAGGATCATGAGGGTTTCCCCATTCAAGGGAAGGTATGCAGTCTGGTCCTCTTCAGGCAGGTGGGAACTCTGAAAATATAGAGGGCTGACGGGAAAGAACTTTGTGTTTCTGGAGCAGATCCTCAGAAGCAGGAGCAGGGCTCTGTGCCTTAGCAGTCTTCTCCTCCACCGTCTTTTTCACAGTGAGAGGTGATTGTTTTTGTTTGAGGGGTTTCTTAGTCTCCAGTGGCTTTTCTGTAACTTTGCTGATGGTTCCCAGAGCATCCCTGACAGTATTAGGTAAGGCTGGTGGGGCATCAAATATTCTGCCAACTTGGGGCATTGAAGCTTGAAATTTCCATTGTAAAGCCTTGGGCCCATCCTTCAGCACTTCCTTAGGAGCCACGTGACTACCTGATTCTCTTTTTTTTTTTTTTTTTTTTTTTTGAGATAGGGTTTCTCTGTACAGAACTCACTGTGTAGACGAGGCTGGCCTTAAACTCAGAGATCTGCATGTCTCTGCCCCCCAAGCGCTGGGATTCAGCTGTTCAACAATAGCAACCTGGCTCTGCTTCTCCATCTTAACAAAGACCAGAGTAGCCATCCTGGAATGCGACAAATTCCTAGATTTGTTTTTGCAGACAAAGCATGCTACGACATCCAGCGTCTGATTCTTTTTTTAAATAGAATTCCAGAAACTAACTTTTCTAACCTATGTCATTTACCTCACTGTTCTTCCTGTCCCCCCACCCTAGATTTTTTTTTTTTAAAGCACTATCTCATTGTGCAGCTCTGGAATTTGCTATGTAGACTAAGCCGGCCTCAACATCATAGAGAGCTGCCTGTTTTTGAGTGCTGGAGATAAAGGTGTGCATCACCACTCCTGCCTGTGTTTTTTTTTTTTTATTTTGGTGTTGGTGGTTCTGAGGTTTCAACCCAGGGCCTTTAGCATGCAAGGCATTCGCTATGACCAACCTTCCTAACGCTGCAATCCTTTAATGAATTTCCTCGTGTTGTGGTGACCCCAACAGTAAAATGATTTCATTGCTATTTCATAGCTGTAATTTTGCGACTGTTATGAATGGTATGTAAACATCTGATATGTAGAATGTCTGCTATGCAAGTCCCCCAAAGGGGTCATGACCCACAGGCTGAGAACCACTGTTCTAAATGACTTTCTCTCCCTGGCCCTCAGGAAGCGTTATCATGGGACTCCCTGTAACCCAGCAGTGGATTTGGCAGCACATGGTTCTGCATCAGCAGCCACAGTAACCAAAACTTCATTTCCTTCCTGCCAACTAATTCTGTGCAGCAGAGAAGGATAACTGAAACTGATGGGATGTTCTGTGTGCTGTCTTTTTTAGATTTTGACTAAAGGAGAAGTTCAAGTGTCGGATAAAGAACGGCACACGCAGCTGGAGCAGATGTTTAGGGATATTGCAACTATTGTGGCAGACAAGTGTGTGAACCCAGAAACAAAGAGACCCTACACTGTTATCCTCATCGAGAGAGCTATGAAGGATATCCACTACTCAGTCAAGCCCAACAAGAGCACAAAGCAGCAGGTGAGTGCCTGCTGGTGTCCTCAGACCCTGGGCTGTGGATGCTCCTGGGATCAGAAGCACACACTTGCAAGCCTCGCTATTTTGCTGGGTGGAACCAGGGATTCCTGCGTGATGGGCAGGCACTCCACCAGCTGAGCCACATCCTTAGCCCCCCCCCCCCTTTTTTGTGATGGAAACACAAATACACATAGACCTCTTACTTCCTGTCCAACTCAGATCTTTAAAGACAAAACTGGGGCTTTAAGTGACGTGAACTCTAGAACAGACAAAATGTCTTTCCAGCTCTGTTGGCCACAGAGATTTCTAAGCCCACTGTTATGTAATAAATAGAAACAGTGAAAGTTTCTATTTATTACATATTTCAGACAAGTCAGCCCTGTCATCAGGCTGGAAGTGCTGCTACATGTCTGCATTTTAAGCACCTGGGAGGCAGACACCAGGTTTGACCCTGTCTCAAAAGGCAGAGTCTCCCCTTTCTAAGAATGTTCAACTCTGTAGTACTTTCACAGAGCTTACAACCTTTTCAAGTTAGAAAAATACTAGTACCTTCATCATGTGGAATGTGGGGAGCAAAGGTCACTCTTCACTGCAAAACACATTTGAGGCAAGCTTGGACTACACAAGACCCTCTCAAAATAAAGGAAGCCAGGCATGCTAATGCATGTCTTTATTCCCAGCACTCAGCAGGCAGAGGCAGGCATATCTTTGTGAGTTTGTGGCCAGCCTGGTCTACAGAGTGAGTTCTAGGACATCCAGGGCTAAACAGAGAAACCCTATCTCAAGAACAAAAAGAAAGCAAGAATCCAAATGTGGTCACTTGCTTCTGGACCTGTAACCCCACTGTTGAGGAAGACAGGAGGCTTTCTGGGAATTGTTTGGCCACTAGAGTAGCTCCAGTTCAGTGAGAGACTCTATCTGAGAGAGTAAGGCTGAGGGCATGGAACAGGACACCCAGTGTGCTCCCTACATACGCACACACGCGCACATAAACATACAACACATGCATAAAATAAAATATTTAATAGACAACAGAGTATAGTATCATCCACATAACGTTTAGCAGATAGACTGCCTGATTACCAGTGCTCAGGCATACAGTTTCCTGGTTATGTATGTCCAGTATAAAAGAAAAGCCTGGCGGCAAAATGGAAGGAGCCAGAGAAGAATTCAGTGTGCAGAAACTCTGGGCAATATCAGAACTACCTCCATTCTCACAACACAGAAGGACCCAACCCAGACCAGGGCCTTCTCTGTACAAGAAAAAAAAAAAAACAAAACAGGAGAGGTCACCAAAGGACTAGTGATGTCACATGCTTCATGCATAAAAGGAATGTTTCCTTCAAAGGTCAGCCACTTGTACACTGTTCCCTCTCCATAAATTCTCACAGATCCTTCAAACCCAGCCCCGTGTTTCCTCTGCATTCAGCTCCCAGCATTGCTTTCAGGAGGGCCAGCCCCAGAGATGCCATTAGAAAGGCCCGTCAGAACCCAAATGTGGCTTGGCAGTCATGTGTGAACTCGAAAGCTCTCAAATCATCAGGCATCCTGACACTATGATTGGCTAGTTATTAAATGTTCAACAAAGCCATTAAGTCTGTCCATCTACCCAATGACTGGCCTCACACTGTTTTAGAATTAGCATGAACTGAGCTATCGGTTCAGGGCCTCTAGGTACATGGCTTAGAATGTGCTGGGCTTAGAAATCTCTGTGGCCAACAGAGCTGGAAAGACATTTTGTCTGTTCTAGAGTTCATATGTTTGCAAATGTAATCCCCACGCCCACATTTCCTTGACTGTTTATAGTGTTGGGGGTGGCGCCCAGGTCCTTGAGTGTCCTAGGTAAGTGCTTCACTACTAAACTGCATTCAGCCTTTGACAGTGCTTTCTTCCAACGCGAAAAAATATTTTCATTTCACAAAATAAGACATTATCTCATTTTTCTAGGTTTTTCTAGGACTGCTTGTATCTTAACCATGAAGCCGCTGGCATAATGCAGCTATGTGGAAACTGCTTTGCTCATGTCTAACGTATGAGTGAGTGCAGCCCAACAACTAAATAACAAGCACTCTGCGTTATATCTTGAAAGGCTTTGGAAGTGATAAAGCAACTGAAAGAGAAGATAAAGATAGAGCGTGCCCACATGCGATTGCGCTTCATCCTGCCAGTGAATGAAGGAAAGAAGCTGAAGGAAAAGCTGAAGCCGCTGATGAAGGTCGTCGAGAGTGAGGACTACAGCCAGCAGCTGGAGATAGTAAGATGACAGGGCGCGGTGCAGCCTAAACCCCGAGATTTTAATGTCAACACATTGTCCTTGGCTTCATTCTACAGAATAGCTTATTTTCTAATCATAAACACTATATTCATTCCTTTTTGCATAGCTGTGACCCAAACTTGAGAGAATAGATAAAGAAGTAAGGTTTTATTTGGCCTGAAAGGATTCCATCCAACTGCTTGGCCTTCTCATGCACTTGGGCAGAACAAGAATAAGGGCATGGGGCACTGGAGACCAGGTGTATCCCTACAGAGGCAGGCCCCCAGGATCACTTCCTCCACGTAGCACTATCAGCTGGGGATAAAACTATGGAGACATGAGCCCATTGGGCACATGTCATATTTAAGGCATGTAACAATATTTAGAAGTTGTACAGGTGAGGCTCACATGTCAAGGTGTACATAGGAGGACACTGCAGTTAAGCATTCTCAAGACTTTACTTGCCTTTTAGTCAAATTATTCAGAACAGAATTATGCTGGCCATGTTCATTTTCTTTTAAATAATAAGATGTATTTTACACTGAGTCTTCTGTTATGGGGCAACTAATAATAAAAGTGGAGCCAGGTGATGCACACTTTGCCATCCCAGGACTCGGAAGGTAAAGGTAGGAGTTCAAGGTCATTCTCAGCTACGTAGTCAGTTGAGGCTAGACATTACCAGCTGTCTTTATGTCAGAACATTCTAATCGCACTGGGAGGTTTTGTTTCTGAGTCATGGGTAGCTACTCTAGAGAGAAGCAGTGTGTCCATACCATAAACATCTGTACTCTTTAGAACCTACCATGTCTTTTCAGTATGTCTGTGGTCTCTTTCACAGGTACAGGTGACTGTCACTCACCTATAAAATCTAATGCTAGATTTCAGCCTGGAGAGGCCCATAGTCTGCTCTAACCCTGTGCATGATTGCATGCGTTTAACACTGGGGAATCTGGATGTGTCTTTAATAGGAGGTGCTAGGCGTTGAACCCAGGGTCTTAATGCCAGGCAGTGCTGGCTCCCACTGTAAGTGCAGCCCTGGCCAGGTGAGTCTCCTAACAGCTGAGTGCCTTTCCCAAAGGCCGACAACAGATGCTTAGCAGCAAGGCTGACCCCCAGATCCAGCCTATTTCCAGGCTTCCCCATGTGAGCAGCACCCAGCACACATCCATAGAGCTACCCTGAGCATTCAAGTTGGGTTTATTCTGTGCTGTTTCCCAGCCTCCCATGGAAACCAGCTGTGTTAACCATTGCAGGTTTGCCTCATCGACCCAGGCTGCTTCAGAGAAATTGATGAGCTGATAAAGAAGGAAACCAAAGGCAAGGGTTCTCTGGAAGTGCTCAGCCTGAAAGATGTGGAGGAAGGGGATGAGAAGTTTGAATGACACTCCCTAGCTCCTTGGCTGGAACACGACAGCAGACATTTGTTTCTGTGACCTGCCACCAGCCCAGCTCAAGCAACGTGCCACTTTCCATCTTGTGTTAAACATTTTCCTAGGTACCTGGGTATTTCTGTTGTAAATTGGGGTTTCCAGCAAAAATGACAAAACACAAAATACAGAGTCCAGAAGAGCTTTTCACTGCTGTGTATGCCTTTCTAGTTCCAAAGGGAAGATCAGAGACAGTGTTGGTGGACAAGAAGGTAGATTCAGTACGTGACAGATTGGAGAGGGGTCTGTATAACAAAGGGGAGTGCTTGCTGGAAAGGAAGATGTGGTGTTTCTGCATAATCAAGTCCAGGTCTGGGGTGTGAGCTCAGAGAGGACTTCCTGGTTCCCTACATTTAGATGTATAATGACTAAAGAGCCTTTGTTTGATTTTCAACAAACATGGTATTACCACTGACTTAGATTATTGTTAAAATATATAAAGTCATTTAATACTAATTCCTAAAAGTTTATAATATATGTAGGTATAACTAAAATTATACATAATCAATAAAACTTATTTTTATTAAGCTCTGGCTTGCATTTCTAGACAGCCTCCTCTTTGCTCTGGTTTTTGTATTAGGTACTTTTCTCACTGATGTGATGAAATGCTTGAAGAAACTCATCAGAAAGGAAAGGTTTTACTTTGGCTCACAGTTTGAGGATTCACACTTCATCCCAGCAGAGAAGGCATGATGGCAGGATCCTGAGGCAGCTGGTCGCGGTGCATCTGCAGTCAGGAAGCAGAGATGACTGTGGCTCCCTTTCTAGTCAGGCCAGGACTCCAGTCCGTAGACAGCAAGCCCAATCCAGGACTCTCACAGATGTGAACAGAGGTTTGTTCCCCTAGTAATTCTAGATCCTGTCAGGTTGACAGTAGTAACCATTGCACTCTGGGTGAGTGGGGGGCTTATTGGATTGGTTTGTGTTTTGAGGGTCTTAATCAAAGGCCTTTAATCCCAGCACTTGGGAGGCAGAGACAGGCAGATCGGAGTTCAAGGCCAGCCTAGTTTTCAAAGTGAGCTCCAGGACAGCACTTGGCTTTAATCCCAGCACTCAGGAGATAGGGATAGACCCAGTCTCCAATTTGACAGCAACACTGATCTGGCCAGCTAGGGCTACATAGTGACCCATCTCCAAAATAACTATTTTTATTTCAAAGACAGCGATTATGGCTTGGAGAGATGGCTCAGTGGTTAAGATTACTGTCTACTCTTCCAAAGAACCTGGGTTCAACACCCACATTACAGTTTACATCTGTCTATAACTCCAGTTCCAAGGGATCTGACACCTACATACCAATGCACATTTAAAAAAAAAAAAAAACTAAAGACAGGGATTGTATAGCCCTTTGAACCCCTGATCCTTCCTGCCTCACTATAGTGAGTACTAAGAGCACAAACTGAATCACCACCCTGCCCTATGCTCAGTGAGCTGACTCCATAGCAGTCATTTCACATTTGTGATCACATTGCCTTTTTGGGTGTGAGGAAACTTAAAAGAGCAAGACCTCTCCACAGCGTCAGCCGTAAGGCAAGATGTCATTACAGTACACAGGGAGAGGCATGTTTATTTTCTAAGGCGCATTCACAGCATTCTAAGCAGTGCCAGCAGAAAGGAGGAAGTGAAGATTGGAAGGACAGGTGCCTAATACCCCTCGCTTTAGTCTGACCTGACCTGCAGAAAGTAGCATGATCTGTGAGCTGCTGTTTCTTCCATCACCCCACAAAAAAAAAAAAAAAAAAGTGTGTGTGTGTGCGTGGGCATACACTTTGAAGCTAAAGCTAAAAGAAGGTATCTAATCCCTGGACCTGGAGTTACAGCTGTGAGCCCGATATAGTTGCTAGAAATTTAACTCTGGTCCTCTGTAAGAAAAGCAAGCACACTTTTGTGGTGCAAAAGAAACCATGTCTTGAAAAAAACAAAAACCACGAACTCCTCTAAACACTGAGCTACCTCTCTAGCCCCTAGCCTGCTGTTCTTAATGGTGGCTGTGGGCACACTAAGGATTTAAGTAATTGGCCAGTGGATCTTTAACCTTCTCTGCTGGTTCATTGGGTGTGAATACTGTGTGCTAAGAACAGAACCCAGGAACCTATTGCTTGAACATCCCTCAGCCCCTCACTGGGGTGTTCTAGGAAGAACTCTACCACTGAGCCACAACCCTGGCTCTTTCTGATGTCTTCTGGTAGGGTTTGGGTCAGTCCATGGTCTCATACAATAAAAGGTTTTACACTCTTTTCAAAGACCCATGGATTTGTTGAGGTCACCTTAGTAGGAAACACTGGTCACCCTTCAACTTCATGGCAGGTAGTACTTAAAAAAAATAGCCTGTGAAACCCTGGAAGTGCTCCTTGCCTACACTTTTTGTTTAAACAACACCTGTCAGGCTGGAGGAACGACGACAAACCGAGTAAATCCAGATCTTTTATTCTGTAAAGCACATATGCACATACTTCAAACACAGAAAATCAATGAGGGAGGGACACCATCACGCATCAGCTAGTGACCATCATGCAGCAAGGGACGGGAGATGAATCTGCTGCCCTCGCGTCCCACAGTGCCTGCAGGAGGGTCAAAACACAGGAGGCTGGGATCCTATGCACTGCCAAGAACACAACAGAAACACCAGGTTCCGAACGACGAGAACTTACGAATAGAATCAAAACTGATTCAAGTCATACTATATGGTGAAAGGACAAAAGGAAAGAGATCAATATGATCTGAAACAGCCATTTCACAGGAAGTCACTGACTTCTGACTGCACCCCCAGCCTAGGACACCTGAGGACAAGCCAGTGCTGCTGGGGTTGGAAGTCTCCAGTGGCCCAGTCTGACATTCCAAGTCTGAGGTTTACCAGCAAGAAGCAGCTGTAGACCAGACCCAGATGTGTCTGCAGGCCCCTACACTCTGCCCTCAACCTCCTTCCCCAGCCATCCTCCAACAGTCTACCTGCTAGGGTGAATATTGGGTTTTAAAGTATAGTATCTGGCCTCAGGATGGGTCATGTCCCAAGCATTTTTGGCACTTCCTCTCCCCAAGCCTTGTGTTCCTCCTTCCCACCCCCTACAGATCCCAGCCACTGCTTGTCATCGAAACAAGGGTGGCTAAGAGGAACACAACTGGGCTGGGCAGACCAGTGAAAGTGACCCTTCTCATTGTCTTACTCCATTGGGTTTGATTACTCAGTAGCAGCTTAATCTGAAGCTTGATGGTCCTGATGACATATTTATACCAGCCAAGTCACGTGGCTTTTCTCCATCTTACCTGACAAGGGTCTCAAAGTCTCAAAGAAGACTAAATTAAATTCACACATTAGCCATCTTATAAGCAACTCACAACTGGTTTAAAAAATATATACTATTGCATCATATTACAGTGATTATTTTAACAATCTTCAATTTAAAAAAAAAAAAAAAGCTATTGTTTTCCATTTCACAATGCCTGGGATAAAATTCTCTAGGCCAGAAAATTCCAGAACACAGTAAGCTAACCCCAGTTCAGACAGACTACAGACCTACAGTTATGGAACAAAAGTGCTGACACACCTAAGCATTTTTCTCTTGCTTTGAGAATAGGGTATCAGTACGTAGCCCGGGCTGTCTTTGAACTCAAGATTCTTCTGCCTCAGCCTCCAGAGGGCGAGACTTACATGCATTCATTCCCACACCCAACAAGTCTGGAACACAGAACACTCCTTGGGAACTGTTAAGGCAAGGCGCTGATAGAAAAATACTGAAAATACAAATAATGAGTGGAAGAGATTGTGAATGCCTTTTTAAATGAAATAGAGGAAAAGGGACAGAGGAACCAGATGATCAAAAATATCTTAAGGAAAATGCTTCCGGTTTTGCTCAGTGAATAGCCATCAGAATCTTATGCCTTCCTTCAGATTTCCCCAGCATCGTACACGTCATAATGATCATTTTCCTTCTCAAGATGTGTTGTACAAAAATGCAAAAAAAAAAAAAAAAAAAAAAAAAAAATAAAAAGAAAACACACATCTCCTTAAAAAAAAAAAATAAGGAGCTGTTTGCAACTTTTAGAGCAAACCAACACTCCTTCTTTCAGTGTGCCGTGCCCTGTGAGGTCAGCCCTCACTGTGCCCTGTGCCTCCACTGCAGAGCTACTTCTCAAGCCAGGAACTTCTCTACAGAAGCAGACGGCAGCAGAGCACTCAAGTTCCTAGCTGCCAGTGTAGAAATAAAACTGATCTTCACTACGGAAGTGACTTTTGGGTGCATGACCTTTTACCTAGGATAGAAGAACATATCTGTCTTAACTAGGGGAATAGTAAAATGTGACTTTTTTATTTAAAAAAAAAAAAAGAAAAGTTTCCTTGCAAGCAAACTGAAAAGGTATTACTGCTGTCACTATGGTCATTAAGCCACAGACAGGTAAGAGCCACTGGAGGGAATGGTGGCTTCGGAAATGCAGCGTCCTAAGGAAGGTGCAAATGGATTCCAACATTGAACACACCAGGCTGAAACAAGAACCACAGCAAACCGCTGCCCCACTGGTACTGGAACACGACCTGCTCAGCTCCAGCAAGATCCCCACACTCTTGTAGCACTACATGGAAGAACCCCATGTCTGTGCCCTCGTACCCTCCTGTCCTCCCTCCCTCCCATGAGGGTGACGGGTTCAGGCTACATCCAGGGCAAAGTACGTGCATCACAGGACCAATTTCCAGATCAATGTTTATAAATATATACAAATCAGTTACAGGCACTTGAAATGTCTTTGGCTGGAATAACCCAACATTGCAAGATCATGTATTCACAGAGTGGCCAGGCTCTGGCCGGTTCAGCAGGCAATGATCATGGTTCTTGGTCTCTCAGAAAATGGGGAGCTGTGGGATTAGGCATCAGCCAAAGCCACCTAGAAAAGAGCAAGGAGACAAATGAGTAAAATAGGGAGCTGCTGGCACCTAGTCCAATACCACAAGGGCATGCTGCCAATAAACATCTATTACCTCTTGGCAAGGAAATTAACAGGACCTTAAGGAAACCACCTCACCTCAGGGAGGGATGAACAGACCCACAGTCTGGAAGCATTTGCCAACCTGCAAAACCACTTATGCTATGCCCAAAGAGTTAACCCTCTGTTTGTCTATTCTATTCTATCCTTCCTTCATTCGTTCGTTCGTTCCTTCCTTCCTTCCTTCATTTTGGAGACAGGATCTTAAGAACTATGTAGCTCTTCCTGGCTTAGAACACTATGTAGACCAGGCTGGCTTCCAACTCATTGATTCCTTTGCCTCTGTCTCCTGAGAACTGGAATTAAAGGTATGTGCCATCCCTCCTGATCTTGGATTTGTTTTTTGAGACAAGGATTAATGTAGCCTGAGCTGGCCAAAAACTCACTACAGAGCTAAGGATGACTTCAAAGTTATCCTCCTGCCTCAACCTCCCAAGTACTAGAATCCAGTCACACACTACCACGTCTGGTTTATGCAGTGCTGCAGACTGAACCCATGGCCTCAGGCTTGAAAGGCAAGCATGCTACTAACCAAGCCCCATCCCTAGCC